CCATATTTAATTCTCTGAATTGTCAACATTTCTGGGATCTGTTTCAGCAGAATCTCAAGGCTCTGGAGCCAGACAGCCTAGGCTTAAATTACAAATCCACTAATTCCTGCTGTGTGAACTGAGTACATTACGTAGTCACTTAGTGCCTAAATTCCCTCACCCAGGAAATGAGAAAATAACAGGTACTACTTCAAAAGGCTGTGAAAAAAAGAGTAAATGGGTTAGAATGTACAAAGTCTTTAAGAGTGGCCCATATTTTGTAAATACAAATCCATTCGTTTTTGTAGCTGTGGTCAATGTTTTTGAGATAAGAGGAAAGATAACTTAATTCTTTATATTTCTACAATAATCTTGTCTTAAAGTAAACCTCCATGCCTCTGAAAGTTCTTGGGAAATTAGGGCACACAGTTACAGAAAGCCTTCCTGTATTGTCTCCTCTAGACTCTATACCTCTCATTATAACCTAACACCAATAAAGAGGAAATCTCTACAAACCTCATACAAATAAGTTTTAATTACCTAATTTAGAGATTTTAAAAACAAATCCTCATACAGTGTACACTGGCTGCTTATTTTGGCTTAAAATGTTAAAGGAATATCTTTGTGCAACAAGGAGAATAAATTACTGTCCTAACAGCAAGCATCAGAATTCCTCTTAGGGAACCATTTTGATAAACTACTTGGAGTGGAAACTCAAATCCTTAGAGATGAGCTAGCATGAGATGATGCCACAGTAGAGGAAGTTAAACAATTCAGCATTGGAAATGAAAAAGAAGTTGGTGAGAGAGAAGCTATTGCAGAATTTATGACAGAACAGCAAAGTGACTTTTAAGGAAAGGAAGATCCAATATTTTATGAGTTTGTTTGGTTTCATTTTGGTTTCTGCAATGTGACACCCTGGCATTCACACATGCACCTCCCAAGCTTCAGTAGTATCAGGTTAATGGACGGAGAGTTTTCTTACTTGTTCTGATTTTTGGTTTTCTAATGCAAATCAAAGAAAGGCAAGTTCCATGTCTCCCTTGACATGGTTTGGGACAGGAACAGATCTGCAAGCTACCAGTTCAAAGAAACAGCTCTCACCAGAAGTGAGCAGTACTAGATAGAATGAATACAAGTATTTCTCCCTTCCCCTCTATTCCCAGAGGAATAGTCTCCATGGGGAATTTTCAGAAGTGCCAATCTACGGTCTAAACTCACTGATTCTAGTCAGTTTCCCCTCCCAGCCTCACCTCCATTTGTTCCTGAACACACTCATCAGACCTTTGCCCTGAAACTGCTCTTGTCAAGGTCACTATGACATTCACACGGCTAGGACCAGTGAATGGTCAATTCTCAGTCTCCATCCAACTTGACTTTCCACAATTTACCATCTGTTCATCTATCACTAGACGCCCAGAAATACTGTAGACACCTGTTTTCTTAGTGTCTCAACCAGGTGCTCCCTCTCCGTAGCCTTTACTGGCTCTTAATGTCCTTAACCTCTAAACACTGGATCAGTCCCTCCTTGTTCCTATTCTCTTTTCTATCTGCTCTCATAGCCCTGGAGAGCCCATCTGTATCATCATATGCTGGCAAATGAATATCTCTAGCCAGATTACTCACCCAAACTCCCTATCTATAAATTCAACTGTCTATTTGAGTTCCTTTCAGACATCAAGGTGCCACTTAAATGTTTAACAGACACATCAGTCTCAAAAATCGTCTCCTTCCACAATCATTCTGTCTCAGTAAAAGACACTTCCATCCTTCTCATTCTCAAGCCAAAAAAAGCAAAAAACAAAAAAAACAAAAACAAAAAACAAAAATCCTTGGAGTTATCCTTGGTCCCTCTCTCTCACATCCCACATTCTGCTCATCAGCAAATATTTTTGTCTCTGTTTTCAATATATATCAAGAATTGGACCACTTCCAACTACCTCACTGTTAACATCTTAATCTAAGCAACCATCATATTTTGCCTGAATTTTGCTGGAGTCTCTTATCTGTTTTTCATGTTCTGCCCTTTCCCCTCATCAGGGTCTCTCAACCTCAGCACTACTGACATTGGGAGCTAGTATTGTTGGGAAGGCTGTATTCAAAACTGACCAACAGATTTCCATCTCACCCAGAAGAAAAAAGAAAGAAAAGAAAAAAGAAAAAGCCAGAGTCCTCACCATGGCCTACTGGCTCTACATGATCAGTTACCCACCCATTCCTCCTTCCTTGACCTCATCTCCCTTCTCACCCACTTACTCACTCTGTTCTAGTCATACTTGCCTACTTGCCTTTGTGTGTTCCTCAAATAGAGCAACAAGCTCCCATCTCCAAGTCTGGCACTTTGTTCCCTCTGCCTATATGCCCATATCCTTGTCCCATAATATCCATTTGGCTTGCTCCTTCACTCCCTTAGTTCTTTGCTCAAAAGTTGGCTTCCCAATGAATCCTTCTGTATTCACTCATTTTAAAATTTCAGCTCCCTTCCCATGCCTCACCTGCCCCCCACACGACTTACACCTCCATTCTAGCTTTATTTGTAGGGGCACTTGTGTCCATTTGATATACTACATGTGTTAATAATTGCTTAAATGCCTGTCTCTACTTAACAGAACATAAGCCCCAGAAGGAAAGGGATTTTTGCCTTTTTTATTCACTGCTGTATCCCCATCACATAGAAAAGTACCCACGGGGGGCACTCAATAGTGGTTATTAGATAAACGAGGGAAGGAAGAAAGGAGGGAGGGAAGGAAGGAAAGATAGAAGGGCAGAAGGAGAGAGGGTAGAATAGGCCTTGGAAACCATCCTAGGTAGATCTGAAGGGTTCAAGGCAGATGCAGCTGACATCTAGGATACATCTACAAGCACCATTAAGAAAGACTGAGTTGGTTTCCATAGAACTTATTTCATCACCATATACAATGAAAACCAAGGATTTGTCAAAATGCTTCTGTGCTTAGGAATTTTATGTAAGGAGTATTTAGAAAACATACTCATAAATCCATTAATATATAGATCTAAATACCTATAGATACATAAAATAAGTAGAACTTTAAAAGAAATTTTATAAAGTGCCATGGGCTGTGGTAACTCCCCTAGATACATACAAAGGAGTGTGCTGGGGTTAGTCAAATCATTCAATTATATACACCATAAGGAGCTTAACAATTTAACATAGTAACAGTGAACAGAGCTCTTTTCTACCAGATGAAAGCCTGCATGGTTCAATTGTGAGTGAAAGAGAGGAACAGAAATGCTTCCTGCTGCAAGTTGACAGTTACATGGAACCCCCTGAAGTTATAAATTGAGTTCCTCTACTAATTACTGGTCTGAAGGGGACAAAGATTCACATTTTATTTCTCTTGCTGAACTTGCAACATAAGCACTTGTGAATTTTACATTAGGATCAAGCTGGGAAGTTCCCAGCTGATTTTACCTGGAGTAGAGAACATTGTCACCTCCCATGCAAATGAGGTCAGACAGTCCTTCCTGCCTTGGGTGCCTACCAGGGAGATTTCAGTGTAATACGGAAGTTGATACAGAGGGGAAAAAGAGAAAGAGGGAAAGAAGCCAGAACAAAACTAAACTAAATATAGATCCTATCTGAAATACAATTTTGTTTAGAAATTTGAAATCAAATCATATGGATTCTAAGAGCACATACTTCAAGAAGACCTCAGAATTTTGTAATATCATTCCTTAAAATTGTATGCCACACCCATTTTGGTAACAACATCAACTATTCTACCTACTTTCTAAACTACTCGTTGTAAGACCAATAAAGCTACACAGCAGGTTACTTTAATAAAATAGGCCCAGTTCTCCAGAGAGAGGAACCTGTGGTTCAAATACCAACACTTTTGATCAGGTAAGCACTTTATTCTTGCCAATGAACAATCACTTTTATGTGGATGCTGATCAAAAATGTTCTTGGGAAGGAAAAAAGATGGTGGGTGAGGAACAAAAGACTGCTGTGATGTAATATTTCAAAACAGGTTTTCCGAGAAGGAAAAATGACTTCAGCATTTCTAATGGGTACATGTACCCTCTCTAACTTCCTGGAAAGTCATAGTTCACTCCCCTGCAAAAGCGGGAGCTTCACTCAAATTAGGATCATAAAATTCATTTATTCATTTAACAAGCAACTATTGAACATATTGTCTTTGTAAAAGGAAGAAACATCAGAGTATTCACGGTGAACATAATTTCCCTTATACAATTTCCCTTCTCCTTTGTTTTTATTCTACTTGCTACAACGGTACTGAAATATGACCGGACAAAAATAATGTGAGGGATAACTAACACACTGTGGTCCAAGATCTGAGAATTAGGACAGAGAAAATAATCAATGAGCGTCTTCTCAGTGTAAAACATGGAAGAGTTCTGGGAGTCATCAAGACTTAGCTTGAGGGACGCCTGGGTGGCTCAGTCGTTAAGCGGCTGCCTTCGGCTCAGGTCATGATCCCAGGGTCCTGGGATCGAGTCCCACATCAGGCTCCCTGCTAAGCAGGGAGCCTGCTTCTCCCTCTGCCTGCTGCTCTCCCTGCTTGTGCTCTTTCTCTCTCTGACAAATAAATAAATAAAATCTTAAAAAAAAAAAAAAGACTTAGTTTGAAATCCCAGCTCCACCACTTACTAGCTGTCTGAATGAAGGACAGATTCCCTGGAGGTCAAGTCCCTTGAGTGGAAAATGTTCTAACAGTACCTACCCAGCTAGTACTTCCGAGGATTAAATGAGATGTTGGCAAGCACCCCTCCACAGCACATATTCAATGATTATAGCTACTTGAGTTATCTTTTGGAAACCTAAACTTACATAATGCGTTTCTTAATTCCTACGAGGAATTCTTGGCAAGACTTAAGAAACATTAAGTTTTATTTTACCTCTTCAGAAGAAATTATTTTTCATGCTCATCTTCTCTAAAAATATAATTCTTGGAATTTTCATGTCTCAAATAAATGCATGAAGTCAAATTTCTACCTTCAAGTATCCCTTCCATTAAAATAACCAAGAAAATACTTACCTAGTTTTGGCAAGGAATAGGGCACTTTAAAGTAGTCTTCATAAAATTCTATTAATCTCTTTGTTATATGGAGAGCATAGTCCCCAGATCCTCTTCTGATAGCATCGGGTCTTGCATATAATCGTACCTAATTAAAAATATATATAAAAGTTACTTTAGCCTTTTAGTATTCAAATTTTATCTTCCCTGCCTATATGAATCTACACAAATCACTGTGAATACTACAAAAATTGAACAGTATTCTTAGTCACATATCAAAGCACGCTGTGGCTGAAAGAACCAAACTTGAACAATTAAAGTAACCAAGTTGAGCAAGTCACAATTTCCTCGCTTTACAAGATGCCATAGAGAAGATTTATACACCTTGCATCAAAATAAATATTCAAGTTATCACTTACATGTGCTTGCTAGAGATATGAAGGCACGGTGGATTAGTATAATGGTTCCCTGACTATGCTGTAAGTAGGCAGGATATGGTGGCTCCGCAGGAGAGAAAATTCATGGTTTGTTAAAGATACATTGCATCAAGCTTTGAAAGTATTACCAGGCTGAACAAAATATAATTTATGCTTCCTTCTTTTCTTTGGAACCAACTGTCCTTATTCCCAATATGCAAAGTAGGAAGAGCAATCTTTTCATGTACATAAGTGATTGCCACTCTGGAAGGCCGTCTGCAACTGCTCCCAGCTTCAAAACCAGCTGAAGTATTTTATATTTCTAACACAATTTGGATACTTAATATTGATTTTTAAGTCAAGCATTGTGTATTATCTAGTCCTTGGCCAAAAAGAAGCCTGAGGCAAATAACACAAACTGAACAAAACTAACAACTGTACAGAAAAGGTTAAAATGATATTAGTTTTCATAAAGATTTCATACAGCTATCCAGCATCTTTCTTTCCAAAGGCTAAACCTATTTTTCACAGATGTGGCCCCTAATCCTCATATCAATTCTGTGAATAAGAAATATGCATTCTGTAGAGCAGTGGAGAACACAGCAGCCTGGGAGTTAGGCATTAGTCCTGCTCTGCCACTAAGCAAGTTGGGTGATATTAAACAAATTACTTAACCTCTTTGGGCTTCAAATGTTCTCACTTATAAAATGAAGGTGTTGACTAAAGTCCTTTTTAGTTCTAAAATAAATTACTTCCAAACCCATTTTACAGATAAAGGAGTTTGTGTTCTTTTCAAAGCACTAAACAAATAAAATAAATGGTTTATTCAGTATGTGGAAATGGATATTTATATTCAACAGGAAGACAAAAGAAAGCTGTACTCAATCATATAAAAATTGAATATACAATTAATTCTGTTATCCTTGCTTAAGGAGAGAGAGCAGAGATGTATATAAATAAAAAGAATAGAAAGTTAAGAAAAATGCATTCTGACTTGATGTTAGAAAGACCTGTAGTTCAATAGCTTTTTACTAAATTCAATAACAATTATTTACTGAAATAGTGAAGCTACTTCTTACCCAACAACCAAATCAAATATCAAATTTAGTTCACAGTCACTTACAGTTTTAGTTGGCAGTAATATAAAACCAAAAACTATCAGGAGCTACCAACTGCAACAGCAGAACTTAACATTCTTAGAGAGAGTGTGGATATGATTCCTGACCCTGACATTAACTGATTATAAACATGCACCATCTTAAATAAAGTTCCCAAGAAGCAAACCCTAAGGAAAGGGTGAGCGTGCAAGTGATTCACTAAGAAAGTGTTCTTAGGAGAAATCTACAAGAGAGCAAGGCAAGCAAGACAGAAGCCAAGCAAGCTTGCATGCAATTTCAGGCAAAGTCCTGGCCTTAGCCTGATCCCACAGGGAGCTCTAGAGTATAAACTGCACTTGCAAGTTTGCACTGCACTGAGGCATGACAGCTAGACCTCCATATTCTTGCGTCTCAGCCATTGGATACTGGATACCAAGGGGAAGGCATAAAATCCCCAGGACTTCTTGTTCTTGGAGCATCTAGGTGATGCCAGCTCTGGTGGCCCAAAGATAGTCCTTTGGAAACGATTTTAGGTGTGAGCTACTAGGAACAAAGCAATGAAAAGCTGGGGGATAGGCACATCAAACAGGAAAGGAGATCTGGTCTGTGCATCATCAATAAACACCACAGACAATAATCACTCACTCATGTAGTCATTCATTCAACAAATATTTATTTGGCATCTAACTTGTACCAGGTCCTGGACGAAGGATTTTTAATTTAGTGATGAAGACATGTTTTCTAACCAGAGACTGTACAAAGGATTTTGAGGAAAAAAACAATGAAGGTGTAGTCCCCATTCGCAAAGAGTTTCCCATGTACTCAGTAGGTTAGATAATAACAAATAATGATATATGCCATATGAATGGTTTAATGAACTAAAATAACAAATGTATTCTGAGGAAGAATGGATAGCTTTCAGGAGGCTCAAAGGTAAAGTAAATAGTAAGTTCATGTTGAAACTATAACCAGGACCACTGCAAAATGATGCATCAAAAGGTCACTGATTTTATTCCTACAAAGCATCATTGATTTTGGTAGAAACACAGCCATTCCTGTCAATCAGCTCTAACAGTCAACCTATCTGTAGGCGCAGACAAGAGCAACACAATTAAATCAATCTGGTTGTCAAAATTTGATGGAAATAATCCAATCTGAATGAGAAGATAAAACATATACAGGCTTAGCCGTGATTGCATTTGCTCCATTCAAACATTTATTGTATGGCTCCTGTGTGCCAGGCATTGCACTAAGGAATAGAAATAGAATAGTACAATTCCTACCACAAAATGAACAAGACATTTATACCTACTACTCTTAAAAGGTTCATGGTATGTGGAAAACAAACAAATCCACAACAAAAATATAATGTGAACAATGTAACAATGTAAGACTCCCTGCCTTCCCCCCATTATAAAGAATTAACTGACTAAGCTCCTACACGAGGCCAAGCCCTCCACACTCTATCTCTTCTTGCCCTTTTGAACGTCATGCCCAAACTTCTCTCCTTTGTCTCCCACATCACCATACTCATGCATTGGAAGAAGAAATATTGCTAAAATGTCTATACTACCCATAAGAGACTCCTAAGCATAGGAAACAAACTGAGGGTTGCTGAAGGAAAGGGGGGTGGGAGGGATGAGGTACCTGGGTGATGGGCACTGGGAAGGGTGTGTGTTGTAATGAGCACTGGGTGTTATGTAAGACTGATGAATCACAGACCTGTACCCTGAAACAAATAACACATGATATGTTAATTTTTAAAAAAGAATCTAAATCCAGAAAATAGAAGGAAAATTTTTAAAAAAGAACATTTATGTGAAAGCATTTTAATGATTAGTCAACACTAAGAAATATTAATCTATTAAAGGGAACTAACCCAACAATGTCATCATAGGCAATGCCATCACAGGTGTTCCCCTGGCTACGTAATTTTCCATTTGTCACAGGCACAATTTTTAACATTAATATTTGTAATAACCACAAGATACCAAAGCTATTATTTATCATAATAAACTTTCAGCTTTTCCAAGTCTAAAAAAAAGTCTATACTACCCAAAGTAATCTACACATTTAATGCAATCCCTATAAAAATAATAACAGCATTTTTCACAGAGCTTGAACAAGCAATCTGAGGGCACCTGGGTCGCTCAGTTGGTTAAGTGACTGCCTTCGGCTCAGATCATGATCCTGGAGTCCCAGGATCAAGTCTCATATCAGGCTCCCTGCTCAGCGGGGAGTCCGGTTCTCCCTCTGACCCTTCCCCATCTCATGCTCTCTCTCTCTCTCTCAAATAAATAAATACATAAATCTTTTTAAAAAATCAATCCTAAAATTTGTATGAAATCACAAAAGACCCTGAATAGCCAAAGCAACTTTGAAAAAGAAAAGCAAAGTGGTAAGCATCATAATTCTGGACTTCAAGTTATATTTCAAAGCTGTGGTGATCAAAACGATATGGGACTGGCACAAAAATAGACACAGGGATCAATAAAACAGAACAGAAAACCCAGAATTGAACCCACAACATATGGTCAATTAATCTTTGACTAAGCAGGAAAGAATAACCAATGGGAAAAAAATCTCTTCAAAAAATGGTGCTGGGGAAAACTGAACAGCAACATGAAAAAGAATGAAACTGGACCACTTTCTTACACCATATACAAATATAAATTCAAAATGGATGAAAGACCTAAACATGAGACAGGAAACCATTAAAATCCTAGAGGAGAACATGGGCAGTAACCTCTTTGACATTAGCAGTAGCAACTTCTTACTAGATATGTCTCCTAAAGCAAGGGAAACAAAGGCAAAAATAAATTGTTGGGACTTCATCAAAATAAAAAGCTCTGCACAGTGAAGGAAACAATCAGCAAAACTAAAAAGCAACCTACAGAATGGGAGAAGATATTTGCAAATGACATATCTAATAAAAGGTTAGTATCCAGAATATACAAAAAATTTATAAAGTTCAATACCCAAAAAACAAATAATCCAAATAAAAATGGGCAGAAGACATGAACAGACATTTTTCCAAAGAAGACATATAGATGGCCAACAGACACATGAAAAGATGTTCAACACCACTCATCGTCAGGGAAATACAAATCAAACTACAATGAGATATCACCTCACACCTGTCAGAACGGCTAAAATCAACAACACAAGAAACAACAGGTGTTGGCAAGGATGTGGAGAAAGGGGAAACCTCTTGCACTTTTGGTGGGAATGCAAACTGGTGCGGCTACTCTGGAAAACACTATGGAGATTTCTCAGAAAGTTAAAAACAGAATTACCCTATGATCCAGCAATTGCACTATAAGTATTTACCCAAAGAATGCAAAAATGCTAATTCAAAGGGATACAGCATCCTGATGCTTACAGCAACATTATCTACAACAGTCAAATTATGGAACCAGCCCAAGTGTCCATTGACTGATGAATGGATAAAGAAGATGTGTACACACACACACACACACACACACACACACACACACACACACAGGAATATTACTCAACCATCAAAAAGAATGAAATCTTACCATCTGCAATGACGTGGATGGAGCTATAGTATTATGCTAAGTGATATAAGTCAGTCATAGAAAAACAAATACCATACGATTTCACTCACATGT